AAACTTCAGCACTCAAGGTATAAAACATCACGGATGTTGTAATTATTAGAGGTTGGCATCTTTTGTATACATGAATGAAAAGAGTTAGCCAAATCAGGTATCTCTAGCTAGAGTAAATGGAGGTAAAGTTACTCTGTTCAACATCTGAGCATATTGTAGGGTCTTTTACAGTGTTTAAATGGGACCTAGTTAAGTTTTTTTAATATTTTTTATGGTTTATTTAACTTTATTTTATGTGCATTGGTGTGAAGGTGTCAGATCCCCCGGAACTGGGTTTTCAGACAGTTGTGAGCTGCCATGTGAGTGCTGGGAATTGAACCCGGGTCCTCTGGAAGAGCAGTCAGTGCTCTTAACCGCTGAGCCATCTCTCCAGCCCCTAAATTTTTTAATCAAAAGTTTATTTCTTCTGGCTGTAGTAAGTCCTGTGCAGGAACAAGTGCCCTTAACCACTAAGCCAGCTCTCCAGTCCCACACTTGAATCTTCCAAACATGAAAACTAGTTTTGTGTAAGGCAGGGGTTCTGGGTAAGCAAACAATCATAGCCAAAAAGCAAACAAGCACACAAGATTAATGCTTTTTAAAGTTCATTAAAACCCAAAAGTAACACTATTTTATCGCTAAGGAATACACCAAGTGAAATACTAAATATCATAAACTATTTTGAAAATACCTAATTATGAAAGGATTTAAGAATCATAAAAAGAGCAGTGTTGTCCCTTGAGATACGTGATTGTCCCTGGACTTGAAGATGAGTACCATCCAGCATTTCTGAAGCCCACTCGGATGTGTTCCCAGATGAAGTAAGTGTATGTTTCTTCTGAAAAAGCTGAACCTAAAAGTTCATCTCGTCTAGTCTTGTCGTCCAGACTAAAGGTGGCTGGGTACATTTTTCCTCCTCCCACTAGAATGAAGTCTTTGCTGTGACGCCCTTTTTCCGTTCAGCTGATGAATCATCTGGTTTCCTTATTCTCTGAGGAAGACTCTATAACTAATTTTGAACTTTTGATTATCTAGTTAAAATTTCTTTTTTAGTAGCAAATGCTTTTAATAGAGATGGTTCATGTACTTTTAACTTATTTTTAAATAGAATGTCAAGTACTTGAAACACTTTTCATCAGTTCTTTAAGAGTTTTGTACATTTTGATCATATTCAATCTCCTTCCCTACCTACCTGACATTATCTGTCCTTCCTTCCTTCCTTCCTTCCTTCCTTCCTTCCTTCCTTCCTTCTCCTCAAAACCAATTGTGCTGCCTAAATATCTTGGATATGTGATCTTCATTGACTTGTGGTTGACTTACCGGGGCTACACTCTTAGAGAAAACTGTTTCTTTCTCTCTCAGTAGCTAAAAATTGCCAATAACTCCATGACTGGTTGTGTGCTCAATCCCCCATGAATGCTGGGATTTGATCTGGATTGGATCTGCATGGGGTTTGTTCCAGTTACTGTAACCTCTGTGAGCTCATCTATGCAGCTGCCCTGGTGTGGCCGGAAAGATCTGCTGCCTTGTAGCCATCCACTGCCTCTGGCTCTCACGCTCTTTCCACCCCGTCTTCCGCAATGATTCCTGAACTGTGAAGTGGACAGGGACGGTATATATGTTTTCTTTGCAGGTGAGAATTCTGTAGTCTCTTGTTCTTGGAACCTTGGCCAGTTGTGGGTCTGTTATTACTATCTACTGCAGGAAGGGACTTCTCAGATGAGGGTGAGACATGCACTGTTCTCTATGGGTATTCCTGATGAAATTCACACATCTGAAAATCCAAGGCTAACTAACACCTGCAAATTGTCTTGACCTTTAATATTCCTTCGGTATAAATCATAAAATTTAAAGACATGTTCATTTAAAATGATACTAAGGCCATTTATTGTTGCTTAAACATATGTTTTTAGGGATGACCACTTGGTATTTGATAATCATTTTGGTGGCTAATCCTGGAGGAAACTAATTCTCCCTCTCTTGGCTATTGTTAGCTGCCTATAGCTCTTCATCTAGGGATAGAAACCTCATCCATGAGATCATCACACATCCAAGATATCTAGGTAGCACAAATTGATCTTGAGGAGTCTGGAAAGGAAGGAAGAAAGGAAGGAAAGAGGGAGGGAGGAAGGGAGGGAGGAAAACGAAGGCAAAGTCAGGTGGGTAGGGAAGGAGAATGAATATGACCAAAATATGTACAAATCTTATCCATGAGACTCCCATGTTGCCATATCAACTGGTGCCATTGTTAAGGTCTTGTCTAGACAGCCATTTTGTTGAGACAAAGTATTTATTTTATAAAAAAGATAATGTTTTTCCAAAATGGGTAAACCTTAAGAGAAAGTCAAAGTTTTAGCTAATTTTGACAATTTATTGGTGCTATTTTTCAATCTAATGGGCCAAATTTTATAAATAAAATTAATATTAAAATATTTGTCCATTAAAATGATTTCCATGATCATATGTAGTTAGTAGGAATAACCCAAATTACTATTCAGGAAATGGATACCTAACAAGCAAAGGCTTTGTCCAGTAGGAAAACATAAAATATAAAAATAAATTTTGTCTCATTTAGTAAAAAAATAAAAACACAATCCTTGCTTTTTGAAGCCATTTTTTGTAAACATCAGTAAAATTAGATCAATACTTAAGAAAACCTTTCTGTTACAAACAAAATCAAGCATTAATTTATCTCAGGTCATAATTTTGATCTTAAATTTTAATGAACTTTATATTATACTCAATTCAGTTATAGCTAGATCAACTTTAAGTTTTATTTTCACAATCTTTCTACAATATAATCCAATCTTTTTTATAATATTTATTATTTATTATGTATACATAATTCTGTCTGCGTGTATGCCTGCAGGCCAGCAGAGGGCACCAGACTTCATTACAGATGGTTATAAGCCACCATGTGGTTGCTGGGAATTGAACTCAGGACCTTTGGAAGAGCAGGCAATGCTCTTAACCACTGAGCCAACTCTCCAGCCCCTATAATCCAATCTTTTAAAATTATTATCATACATTTCCATTTTGGAACAACCTTTGTTTACCATACAAAGTCCTTTCTCAACTAAAGCATTTTTTAACTTTTTTAAAACAACAATATATCTGATCTATAACCATTCTATCTCCTTTTCTAACTTAGTTTTTGGTACTTAGCCAATTATTATTTTAAAAATAAAATTTTAAGAACAAGTTTTAATCAGATAATTTTCAATAAAACCCCGAAGGCTGTACCTAAAATAAGAAAACATATACATGGGGTCATAGTTAGCATCAACTATAGACACAACCCAGAGTCACTTGGGAAGAGGGAACTCAGTTGGGATATCACTTCCATCAAACTGGCCTTTGGAAATATTTGTGGAGTAGTTTTTGAATCGATAATTCATGTAGGAAGTTCCAGCCTACTGTGGGGAGTGCACCCCCTAGGCAGTGAACCTGAGCTGTTTAAGAAAGGTAGTTGAACAAGCTAGTGAAGACTGTTTCTGCATGGTCTCCGCTTTAGCTCCTGCCTTGAGTTCCTGCCTTGGCCGCACTCAATGATAGACTGTAACCTATAGCTAAACAAACTAGTGTTTATCATAGCAACACACGGACAGACAGACAGACAGACACACACACACACACACAGAGAGAGAGAGAGAGAGAGAGAGAGAGAGAGAGAGAGAGAGAGAACATAAATAAATAGATTGAAATAAGTTTTCAAGTTAGTGACCTGGATGAAAGAAATTAAGGTGGCACTCAAAGCTTGGGCTACGGCTGTGGCTCAGTGGTAGAGTGCTTGTCAAGTACACACAAGGCCCGGAGTTCAATACCCAGCACAGCAAAATGAAATCTTTAAAGAATAGTCCTGGTTCCTGGATACAGGAAATGAGTGGCATGGTGAGTTGAGGTGTCGGAAGGAATCAGAGGCTGGTGGAGGTACTTCAGAGTCTTTGTCCAGGAGGGAACTGTGTTGTCTGAGTTTTCTGTCCTGCCCAGTTCCCGCAATTGTTAAATCCCAAAGAAATCACACAGAAGTCTACATTAGTTATAAACTGATTGGCCCAGTATCTCAGGCTTCTTATTAACTCTTATAACTTATATTAGTCCATTATTCTTGTCTATGTTAGTCATGTGGCTCGGTACCTCATTCAGCATGGCAGTCACATCTTGTTTTTTCTGTGGCTGGGCCAGGACTGCAGAGGAATGGGCTTTCCTCTTCCCAGAATTCTCCTGCTCTCATTGACCTGCCACTACTTCCTGTCTCGTTGTCCTGCCTATACTTCCTGCATGGCTACTGGCCAATCAGCATTTTATTAAAATACAGTTGACAGAATACAGACCATTGTCCCACAGCAGAACTGTTGGAGCCCTTCTGAGAGAGAGGCAAATTAAGATCGATTTAGGAAGTAGCCAGTAAAAGAAGAGGTCTTAGGAGTGGCACTATAAGAAATGATACCACTAGGGCTGGAGAGATGGCTCAGAGGTTAAGAGCACTGGCTGCTCTTCCAGAGGTCCTGAGTTCAATTCCCAGCAACCACATGATGGCTCACAACCACCATGTATGCAATGAGATCTGGTGCCCTCTTCTGGTAATGTAGGCAAACATACAGACAGAACACTGTATATGTAATAAATAAATCTTAAATAATAATAATAAACAAAAGATACCACCAACTATACTCAAGGCCGATTCGCCCATTCTGTCTCTGAGAACCTCACGTCTGGTCTCTGGTCTGCTGTGGGCAGTCATGATGGCTTTGACTGAAAAGGCTGATGCTACCCTCTGAGTGGACTTACTCTGCTCCTGTGGTACGAATGAACACCCCACAAATGAATGAAGTGTTTTCTGTGTGCCAGGCAATGCTCTGGGCACTATGGATGCAGCGGTAAACAAAAGGGGATTAAATTCACAGTGCTTATATTCTGATCTGTAGGAACAGGCTAAACAGACAGTCAGGCTTTGAAAAGCCAGAAGGAGAGATGGCAGCATATACAATGGAGTAAAATAAAGCAGAAAAGGCAGCGAGGAGTGTTGAGATTTTATATGGGATGGCTAATTTAAGGAGCACTCAAAAGGTATGCCAAGCAGGTGTGTCCACATTTCGGGGACTGTCACCCAAAAAGGAAGTGTGCCAGTGTTTCCCAGACTGAGACAGTAGCAAACCTAGTAAGTTTGAACAACAAAATGCGAATTCACCTTACCTTAACACTTTGTCTTCCAATCTCCTGGGAATTTTGGTTCTAAGAGGGGCTGGCGAAATAATTCAGATTGTGAACTATGCTTGCCTAGCATCTATGAGGTCCTGTATTTGGTAAACTGGGAGTAGTTGAAAATGACTGTAATCTCAGCATCCATGAAGTAGCATAGGTGAGATCTCCCCACCCCTGGTTGAGACAGGGTTTCTCTGTGTAACAGCCTTGACTGTCCTAGAACTTGCTCTGTAGACCAGGTTGGCCTCAAACTTACAGAGATCCCTGCCTGCCTCTGCCTCCCAAGTGCTGGGATTAAAGGCGTGCGCCCAGAAGAGACCATACCTCAAAACCCAAACAAAAGCTTGTTCTTTGGCTTGCAACCCACCGCTGGGTGAACAAGTCTGAACTGGGCACCAGGCAGAGAACGAGGATGAAGCTGTTCCGGAGTCATCTGAGCAGAGAGGAAACCACATCCGTCTGCTTGGTTTATGGCTTTACTTTTTAAATTAGATAAATAGATGCTTGGCGGGGCATCTCTCAGAGATGTGCTTCTTGTGTGGTTCTCTTCAGCTCTTCTCCCGGGTCTCTTCTCTTTCCTTGTGTTGCGGCTTTTCTTCCTGCCTCTCTTCTCTGCCTCCCTTGTGCCAGCTTCCGCTCTGATTTGCTGGTGTCCACTGTTGCCCTGGGCTTGCTCCCCTTGCACTCTTCTCCTGGCTCGTCTTTTGGGGAATCCATCCCAATCTACCTGCTTGGTGCCGTGGGATGCAGGCTGCTGTACCCTCAGGCGGTGGTGAGAAGGTATGGAGAGGCTGACGGGATGAAGAAGCATTCTTCTCAGAGCTGCGATAACTCGGCTTTGCTCCTAGTGGCCATTTCTTCCTCCCTTCTGATCTCATGGAGCTCCCAGAAACTGAATACTGAAGAGAAGTGATGGTGTGGACTGCACAAAGTCTCCCCAATGGGAAAGGATCCGTCATATAGAGATTCCTGTGAGTGTCGGACAGAAAGTGGTCAAAATCATATAGGTTACCAGAAACACTCCTCTGTGAATGCACAGTCACAGTGATAGCCCTTGGTCTCTGGGGTTTTATTTCCTGACAATTCTAAGCTTTATAGATGTCATTTCTTCTGATATAAACAAATTAAAGTTTAATTCATAGGCATGGTATGAGATTATCAACATGCCTAATAATTAAACCAAACAATTGTGATCTAACAAAAGTTATGTGGCTATGGTTTCTCTCTCAATATTGAATCTCCATTTAATTTTTGGGCTGGATGTGGTTGTGGCTAACTGAAACCTTGGAAAGTGAGACCACAAGAAGGGCACTTGTTCTTATTTACATTTTCATTTTGGATGTATTTAATTACGTGGATGGGGGATCTTGAGGAGGCCTGAGGCATCAGATCTGGAGCTGGAGTTTCAGGCAGTTGGGAGTCACCTGCAGTGACTACTAGAAACCAAATACAGGTCCTCTGGAAGAACCGTATGCATTCTTCTTCTTAACTGCAGAATGACCACTTTGGCTCCTACTTACATTGAAAACTTTTTGGTTATTAATAAATGGTCTTTTGGAAGAATTTCATTAATTTTCTTTCATATGATATTATTTTGTTTATGCTATCTAAAGTTTTACCACATTAACTTGTTTTGCGTGTATGTTGTAAAAAGATCATGAAAGTAGAAGGGGATCACGGGAAGACAGGAAAAAGAGCAAAAATATAGAGCAAAGCAATGCAGGTGACAGGAAAGGGATGGGGACCAGCAAGAAGGGAGCAGTGGGAATAGGGAGGGCAGTGAGGGGGACAGGAGAACGAAGTATAAGGACATTTACTTAGGAAATGCCAGAGTGGCTGCTTGCACAGTGGCAGGAGAGCCACTTCGGTTTATCTGAGGTGTGATCATTACTAACTGAAAACAAGAAAAATGCCATAGTGAAACCATAGCTTGGTGTGTTGACTTAAAAATTACTTTAAAAATAAAGATCTTTTTTTGCAAATACAAAAATACGTATTTTTATTTTTATGAATTAGAAAAACAAATTAACCCACCCTCTTTAGGACTGCCAGACACAATGCACAGAAGGTGTGTCAACAATGCTTGTTGACTAGATGTAGGAGAGATGGGGCACCTTGGAGCATGGAAAGGGAGGGGCTGGGACCCAGGGAAGTTTGTCCTCACCCAGCCCTGCAGTTCAGCTCCTTCTCCCTTTACTACCCCACACCCATTAGTTAGGAAGACACCAAGAGCTCTAGGGAAGGAGAGGGGAGGAAAGAGCCATGGGAGCTGCTGAGCTCCAGGAGAAGAGCCTCTATGCCTCTTACACAGCACGAAGAGAAGGCTCTAGAGCACCAGCTGAATGGTCTGCCCTTCAGTGCCCTTCAGTGGTATCTGGAGATACCACACTGTAGAATTTCACTCACTATTATTGGAGGCAGAGTAAACAAGGGAGAAGAAGGGAGGAGGGTAAGGTTACTGTGGCCAGCAACCCATCCTCTTCACACAGCAGTTGGAATCACCCTGAGGACCCTAGGACACGGTCCTGTTTCTGAGCTTCAACTCCAGCCAGTCCCGTGAAGGCCACCAGATCAATCCCATCACCACCATACCTCCAGTCAGGGACAGCCGAGGGCTGCTGGAGGCAGCCAGAGTGCCAAGGAGCGAGAGGGGCTGTGGCCCAGAGGGGTTCTCTCTTTCCCACTCTCCGTAAGTCAGTGCATCCCTCCAGCTGAGGTCACGAGTACAGGGGACACTGTCTTCACTGGGGGTAGCTTTCCCTAGTTAAGAAAAGGAATATATTTGCACTCTGGCTCACAGAACACTCTGGAAGCTAACAGCTAATGTGGGGAGAGGAAACCATCATACATGAGATCTGTCAGGCAATTACACATTCTTGCTTTTATCATTGGTGGCAACTCTCCCACAATCCCCACCTTACAGATAAGAACTCTGAGGTCCACAGAGGCTGATTGATTTACTAACGGCCATATTATGATGAGGCAGAGTCAATATGCAAAGCCAACCAACCTGATTCGAGAGTCTATGTTCTTAACCACTGACTACATCATGTTGAGTAAAATAGCGGGCTAACTGAACTAATCTCCCCAAGGATATATTCAGTCGGCTAAACTAACAATGGCCTTGAAACCAGAGGAGCAAAGTCAGAGCCCATTCTTAAACCCTTTGCCCCTGGCTACTCAAAATGTAACCAAAACCTTGGTATCAGTGGGGATCATATTGGAAATACCTGATTTCAAGGCCTTATGTTCAGGTCTAATGAGTTAGAAACAGCATTTTAACAAGACCAAGGATTGAGTCGTGCACCTGCTAATAGGAGCACACAGGTGAACTTTAGGCTTCTGGTTGTCTAGACTGCATATCGATCCCCATGCCCATCCGCTGGACTCTTGTGCAGCCAAGGTTGGTCTTGAGCTCCTGTTTCCTCCTCTCCTTGCCTCGCAAAGGCTGGGATTACAGACATTCACCACAATGTCTAACTATGTGTGCATGAGTGCCTCCATGCTTGTGTCTGTGTGTATGTGCGCGCATGCATGTGCATGCATGTGTGCCTGTGTGAGTTAGTACAAGTGAAGAAAGTTGTCTCAGAGACCGGAGGCATCCGATGCCCCTCCTCCCTTGGAAGCTGGAACTACAAGTAGTTCTGAGCTACCCAAACTGGATGCTAGGAACCAAACTTAGATCCTCTGGAAGGGCAACATGCATTCTAAACCCCTAAGACAATCTCTGAAGCCCCATGGGTTCTGAGGGTCAAACCCAGCTCCTCATTATTACAAGGCAAGTACTTTACTGGCTGAGTTATTTCCCTGCCCTTCTTGTTATTTTAATCCAGAAGTTCCAATAGAGGGTTTAGGGCATGGCTCAGTAGGAGATAGTAAGGGTCCCAAGATCCTGGCATGTAGCTTCCCTTTTCTGGCCAGTACTTGACCCAGCAAGAAAACAAGGTACAAAACACATCCCAACATGGATCATTAAAATCAACCTAAGAACATTTCAACATGAGATATTCTGAAATTTCTTTTGGTATTGTCCGAGGCTCTAGTAAGATCCTATGTAGCCCAGGCTATCCTGTAACTTGCCATACAGACCAAGCTGGCTTTAGGCTTGAAGCATTTCTCCCAGCTCAGCTTTCCAAGGTCTGCAATGACAGGTGTGCACCACCGCACCTAACCAGATATCCTGAAGTTCTAAACCTTTTCTCTTCAGTCCCAGCACTCATTGGAAACATTCTTGAATATTCTGTTTTCCTTATCTCTAACTTCATAAACTATTTTAAAGTGTGTGTGTTTGTGAATGTGCTTGAATGTGCAATAAAAACAGAAAAAAATAGTTGACATCGTGTCAAAGGTCACGACATGTGGGAAAACAGTCCCAGATGGGGAGGAAGTGAGGCTTTGCTCTCCTGTCAGGATGCGGGAGCTGGCAGCCGCCATCTCCATCTTCAGTGAGCCTTCCCTTCGGCACATATTCCTTGCCCACTAAGCTTGAGTGTGTGTGTGTGTGTGTGTGTGTGTATGCTGCACTTCTCTCTTACAGAGTATATTTTAAAAATTCAGACTTGGGGCTTCTCTTGAAAAAAAAATCCAGAGTATCTGACAATACCAGACTACGTGCCAGCATGGCAGCAATTAGTCCAAGTCTAAACTAGTACTGCCACTGTTTTTTTAATCCCTGTCTCCGCCGCTCTCGCTTGCCCTTCTTAATGTTGAAAACAGGGGTCAGTTGCCAGCAGTTGTTCTGTTTCCTAGCTTTACTTATGTTTTACGTGTGTGACTATTTTGCCTACATGTAAGTCCGTGTACCACATACGTATCTGGTGCCCATGGAGGCCAGAAGGTGGTGTCGGTTCCCCCAGGACTGGGGTTACATTCCGTTGTGAGCTGGGGATCGAACCTGGGTCCTCTGCCAGAGCAGCCAGTGTTCTTAACCACCTAACCATCTCTCCCGCTCTGCCGGCAGGTGTTTTAAACATCATAAAGTGAGAGTCACCCATTCCTTTTGCTCGCATTCCCTCAGACCTTTATTCGTTTATTCCACCCTTAGACACGAGTTTGTAAAATATTCTGATTTGGATCCTAGTTCCCCTAGGATCTCCACCCTCCTCTACATTCTAAAATATAGCTGTCTCTGAGCCACAATGGAGAATTAATTTGTCAATAGTCTTAGGTACTGATATTTATTGAACTCTCGTTGTGCCCCCAGCTCTGTGCTTGGTGCTGTGGATGACTTAGAGGCATGCATGCAATTTAACATTCATTAATAGTTAATAATAATAATAATAGTAATATAGGCCTTACGCCTATAAGAGAACCAGAAAACAGTGTGAGAGGTTAGGAGGAAAGCTGAGTCTTGGCAGGAACGTGTGGGTTAGGATTTAGGACAGATGGGTTTAGAGCAGCTCCTCAGGGGAAGGAAGTGGGTGTGGAATGACTAAGGTATGACAAAGCGTGGGTAAAATCAGACTGAAACAGATGTGGCTGGGGTAGACATGAGGCAGGGAGCACGTTACCAGGGGAGACAGGAAAGATGGGGAAGCTGATGAGGGACCACATCCAGAAGACTCGAGGTAGACTAGAATTTGGCAACAGGGAACCAGCTAATGCTTCTAGAACGTCACAGTTTCTCACATGGCTTCACCTACTCCATCTGTCCTGGTCCTATCATATATGGCAATACCCTGAAAGAAGTGAAGGACTCTCTACCTTTACATATCTCTGGAACCCCAGTATGAACTTTGAATGTTGTCTAGAAAGGAGTTTCTATAATTTTGGTATGTACCTGTGTGACTTCACCCGCCCCCCCCCCCCAATAAAGGCAGTGTGATACTTAAAGAGCCTCTGGTGGATGCTTATGAATAAATAAGAATAAATAAATTTGAATCAACAAATAGATGCTGCAGATGTGAAGGGGAAAAATACTGGCTAGGGCCATGGGTGGAACTGGAAATCAAGAATAAAGAAGCATCTCAAGCTGGGCGGTGGTGGCACACACCTTTAATCCTAGCACTCGGGAGGCAGAGGAAGACGGATCTCTGTGATTTCGAGGCCAGCCTGGTCTACAGAGCAAGTTCCAGGACAGGCTCCAAAGCTACAGAGAAACCCTGTCTCAAAAAGGAAAAGAAAAGAAAAGAAAAAAGAATAAAAAACCAGATGAATAGAGCTTGGTGCCAAATTGACTTTGGTGACCAAAAAGCCCAGAGAGTTACCCATTATGGTAGGGGGAATCCTATGGTTCTCCTGATGGCATCCAGAAGGACAGAGGGGACCTTGTGAGGGATCTGAGTCTATGCCTACACAGCAGCCAGCTCTCCCAGCATGCAACCCTGTGTCCTTCCTTACCTGCATTGGTCTTGTTGATCTGAATCTTCTTGCTCCTCCTGGAACTCCAGTCATTTCAGGGTCAAAGAAATGAAGATCAAAGTTAAGGAGAAGAACATTAAATTCAGGTGGGTTTTTGTGTGTGTGGTTTGTTTTTTGAGACATGGTCTTATCATAGTCTTAAATTCACTATGGAGCTGAGGACGACTCCGAATGCCTGACTCTCCTGCCTCCTGAGTGCTGGAATTGTAGCCATACACCAGCGTGTCTGGTGTATGCAGTAGGACTGCGGATCAAACCCTGGCTTTGTGTGTGCTGCCACAAACACTCTACACCCTGAGCTACATGCTCAGCCCTGAAGTCACATTTCAAAGCTTATCCTTAGTTAGCCTTTTCCTGATGTGAAGGAATTAGAGACAGATATAAATATGGAAAAGGCCAGCTGTGGCTACACTGGCATACCATGTTTCCAGACGAGAAAGGGGAAAGAGGAGGTGGGATGGAAGGAGGTAGGGACCAGAGCCCATGGCTCTGATATGTCTGAGGAGGAGGACCGTGGCCCTATCACGGATCTTGTGTCTCCGTCATGCATGCTCTTTACTGTTCAGTAGCATGTTGCTGCAAGTGAGCAAAAACTGTTAATAACTGCAACCAGCCTGGAAGGCGCCTGAATCTGAACATTAACACGTGGAACTTTGTTCTGGGAAACCAAGGAAGCTAACCGTCTGTACAAAGGAGCTACTGAGATAACAGGGAGGCAGAAGTGATACTCTCCACTCTTCCAAACCTCCCTGACCCATTCTATATGGGGCTGTCCAGACCAATTTAGCTGCTCATCTGGTCTCTCTGAGTCTCTTCTTCCCTTCCAATTAACTGTCCAGGCTGCATCTAGAGTGACCTTTTCAAATGCAAATTGTATCACAGCACCTCCAGGTGTCAAATACAGCAAAGGCTCCCTTCCACTGAAAGTAGGAAATCCTCCACACAGCATCTCAGGCCCTGCTTGGTGGGGCTTCAACCTATTTCTACATGTTCTCTGGCCCAGTGATCTTCTTTCTCTTTCCCTAAACCCATCAAGTTTCTTCCTCTGGACAAAGCTTCAGTCACTTGTTTCTTCAACCTTCCTGGCTCTCTACCTCCCTGCTTCTTTTTGTCTAACACCTATTTCTTTTTAGGGGCTTAGCTCCCTCTAACCTTCCAGAATCAAAGACCAGAGATTGATGGTAGGCCCCCAGGAACCCCATTTCCCTTTTCCTTTGGGGGCAGAGCACCTAATTTTGTGGGGTATTCTTGTTTTGAGACAGATTAGTCTAGGCTGACTTCAAACTAGCCTCCTGAGTGTTGAGATTACAGGCATGTACCACCATTTCAGACTGAGGATACTTAATTTGTATGGGCTTGTATCTAAAGGAGAATGTACTTCTTAGCCTCCCTTGCAGCTCGTTTGGTCTATGGGACTGAGTTCCAGTCAGTAACTCAGAATGAAATATGTGCAAAAGAGTCTGTGGTGATTTGAATGAAATACACACACACACACACACACACACACACACATACATACACACACACACTCATAGGCTTGAATATCCTGAATACTCAGTCCCCAGTTGGTGACCCTGTTTAGAGAGGTTTAGGTGGTGTAGTCTTGTAGGGGGAAATGTGTCACAGGGGGTGGGGTTTGGGATTAAAATCTTGTCTCACTTCCTGTTAGATCTCTTTGCTTTGTGTTTGCATTTGACAATGTGAGCTATCAGTGTCCTGTTTCTGCTGCCACACCTGCTTCCTAGCCATGATGGGCTCTTATTACTCTGCATCCGTAAACCCATCCATGCCACACTGTATCTAAGCTGTCTTGATCGTGGCATTTTATCACAGCAATAGAAAAGTAGCTAATACAGTGTCCTATAAATAGTAAGTTAGCTGGGGATTGTGGTCATGTCTGTACTCTCAGGCAGGAAGATCCCGAATTCTGAGCCAGCATTGTCAAGATAGGCGCTGTTTCAAACAAATAAAAAACCCACAGTAACGAGGTAGTGTGGCACAGGCCTGTCATTCTAGCACTTAGGAGAATCAGGGGTTCAAGGTCATCTCAATAGTTACTTAAGTTTCAGGCCTGCTGTGATTGTATCAGTAATTTAGTAATTTGACACAGCTTACAACTTCATACCTTTGCACTATCAGAATTCAGCACTAGTTCAGAATGTGACATTCTTTTTTTTTTCTTTTGAGACAAGGTTTCTCTGAGAAACAGTCTTGACTGTCCTGAAACTCACTTTGTAGACCAAGCTGGCCTTGGATTCACTGAGATCCGCCTGCCTCTGCCTCCCCGAGTGCTGGGATTAAAGGTGTAAGTCATCACGGCCCAGAATATGACATTCTACGTCAACATTTTTTAATTACAGTTTTCTGTATACAGAAACAATCTTTTATGCAGTGACAATCTTTTGACAAACTGTTAAATCTTTCCCAAGACCATTAGTAACACACATTAATATTTACTGAGATAGCACTCGTATCTGTTTCTCGATCTGACAAAGAGCATGCTGAAGGCTTGGTACTTAGGAGCTCCCAATCCCAACAGTATCCGGATGCGGCTTTCTACTATCTTTTAGGTATTACTGAACAGAATGCTGAGGCACTAGTCTGAGAGCCTTCAGTCACTCAGAGAGACCCTCTCTAGGCTCTCTTGCTTTTCGGCTTTCCGCCCCAACACTATTCCGTTTGCCTCTGAGTTACTTTAACTGGTTCCTATTATGATAAGCCCCTCCTACTGGGTTGATATACAGCTGAATGGTAGAGCCCTTGCTTAGGAAGCTTGAGGCCCTAAATTCAACCCTCAAGCTGGAGGGAGGGGGTATCCCTTCTATGTGTCACCAGGAATGGTGGCACAGATTTTCTTCTAATTCCAGTATTTGGGAGGTAGAAGCAGGAGGGTTGGAAATTCAAGATCGTTCTTGATTACATAGGGAATTTGAAGTGAACCTGAGCTGCATGAGATCCTATCTTAAAACAAAAAAAGATCCTTCTCTTTGACAGTTTTCTCTCCTGGTGATAACTACTAATTCATTTTTTTGGTCTTCCTTCTCTGTTTGTAGCCCAAACTAGTCTGGAACTCATTCTGTCGCCCAGGCTAGCCTCAACTTTGAAAGAGTCTGCTTGCCTCAGCCTCTTTCTCAGGGCTGGAATGACAGCAACGGGTCATCACACCGGGCTTCCTGTCTCCCATAGCACACCGAATCATCTGGACTACAGGGACATTTCTTCAGGCATGGAGAAGACAGGCCTGTATCCTGGAGCATCCCATGAGACTACACTTGAGGAACAACCTCAGGAGCTCTATGAAGTCCAAACAGAGGCCCAGTCAATGGGGAAACGAACCCAGGACACAGCAAGGTATAAAGCAATGCAGTATGTCTGTGTCGAATTAGATGCTGGATAAGGATTTAACTCTCCTTCTCCCATGCCTGTTACTAACTCATTTTCATGCTGAAGAAGTATTTCATTTCTAGACACCTCCTCTGGAGTCAAGCCTACCTCGCTTGCTGTGGGGAGATAAAGGCGATGAGAACAGGGCCGTCCAGAGACTATCACTGCCTGACAGTGTGTCACGTCCCTGCCTGCGCTCCTTTCCCCAGGGTCTCACTGCTGGGGTCTTCCGGGTTAACCTGATTTAAATCATGTACCTGTACTGTTTCCGCTGATGCAAGTCGGCAAAGATCTGCGAGAGGGCCTCATTCTCCCCCTGGGCCATCAGCTGCAGGAGGCTCTCGCTGGGCCGGGGACCTTGAGGTCTCTTCTGCACTAACTGTACAGAGAAGGAGCAAGCAAAACAAGAGGTTAAGCCTTAGCTCGCTGCATTTCCTTAGTACTAAGGCTCTAAACTCTGAAACATCAGGACCCAATCATTCCCGAGAGGCAGACATACCAGCTGATCACGGGAACGATTCTCTCAGTTTGTAGCTAAGTATTTGGTATAAACGTCCTTTGGTGCCTTAAAGGTTAAGATCTTCACTGTACACTTGCAAACATGTCTTTAGTACCATTAACTTGTTAATGTGAATTTTAACACCTAGTGCTACTTGTTTTTATAGTTAAATGTATATGAGAAGTTCATGCTTAAAAAAATGAGTTCCTCTAAGAAAAGTCCTCTACGCAGCCGCTTTGTGGGTATGAAGTGCACTTGGACCTGCACAAACGAGTCCACACGTAGAGGCTACAGGTCAACACTGAGTGTTTTCCTCTATCATTTTTCCACCTGATATTTAAGACGGGCCTTTCGCTGGACCTGGCTCTCACTGACTTCACTGAGTTGGCTGGTTAGTGAGTCCCAAGGATCCTCCCCAATCAATCACCTGACCAACAGATATCTCTCAGAAAATCTGAGACACCTAAAGACTGAGGAGATGGGAAGAATAATGCCATTAATAAAATGATGTGCTTTTCGCTCCTTGAAGCCCCCTCCCATACAGGTGCTTGCAGAGCCTCACTATTAAACCTGCTCATTTTTCTTTACCTCAAAAAGTGTAGCTTTTTCTTTTCTTGTTTACCCCCTTTTTCATATACTGCCCAAAGCAAAAGCACAAAGCCCAGCACTTTGGGCTTTCTCACTGTTTCTCTGAAGACTCTACCCCATGACCCATTCTTTTTTTTTTTTTTTTTCCTTTCAAGACAGGGTTTCTCTGTAGCTTTGGAGCCTGTAGACCAGGCCAGCCTCGAACTCACAGCCTACAACCCTTTCTTTTTTTTTTCCTTCCTTCTTTATTTTTTGGCTTGTTATTTTTATTTGAGGGTTTTATTGTTGCTATAGGGACAAGGTATTCTCTTCTATCAGGGTGACCTCAAACTTGTTGTTACAACCTATTCTTAGGTTGTTTGCCAACCTCCCTTGTTGAACACTCCTGATATCTTGGACTGTAACTCAAAGGCAGGAATAAATCAGACCCTGCCTCAAACAACTACAACACCCACATAGTTCCAAGTCCATGCACTGCAGCACGTGCCTGGACTCTAAGCACGAGGAGGCTAAAGCAGGAGGCTGGAAGTCGTAGGCCATCCTGAGCTCTGCAGCAGGATTCAGCCTCAAACAGAACTCCTACAACTACATTCACAAGGGTACCAGCACAGGGAATTATGTAGGGGTACGTTTAACAAAAGGATGTTGAAGTTGGGGATTTAACTCCATGGTAGAGTGTTTGCCTAGCAAGGGCAAGGCCCTAGGTTGGGTCCTCAGCTCCTAAAAGAGAAAAGAATGAGAAAAGAGAAAAGGTAACAAAAGGATGTCAACGAGGAAAAAGCTTGATGCTCAGAATGCACGTATGGAACCCCAGAGTGTCTGTGGTGAGATGGGAACCAGAGACAGGAGAATCCACAAACGGTCGAGGGCCAGTTAGCCTGGAGCGCACATAGGAGAACCAGGGACCCTGTCCGAAGTAAGGTAGAAGATGAGGATTGACACCTAAGGCGAGCTGTCCTCTGACATCTACATGTGTGCCATGGCACATGTATGCTTGCACATGTACACACACACACACCACACAGGGTGGAAGGAGGGAGGGAGGAAGAGTTGGTACGAATAGATAAGGAAAAAGCTAAAAATTCCCTCATGGGCTAGGGAGTGGGTAATAGTACTTGTGAAAGAATTAGGACCTGAGTTCAGATCCCTAGCATTTGTGTGAAGAGCCATTCACAGCAACGCCCACCTCTTACCCTAGCACTGGGGGTAAGGGGTTGGGGAGCAGCGACAGAAGGATTGCTGGGGCTTGTTGGTCACTAGTCTAGCAAAAATCCCTCAAGCTCCAGGTTCCATGAAATACCCTATCTCAGAGGAATAAGGCAAATAGCAATAGAGGAATATACCTGAAGTCTTCCTCTGGCTTCTGCATGCCCCTCACAGTGCATACCACCACCCAACACACACACACACACACGCACATGCACACACACGCACACATGTACACACACATGCATATGCTTATGCACACGTACACACATGCACACGCATGCATATGTGCATGCACGTGCATGCAAACATGCACACGCATGCACACACGCAGGCATACCAGAAAAGTCTCTTTTGACCTGGCATGGTTGAACATGCCTGTAATCCCAGGACTTGGGAGCTAGAGAATGGAAACTCAGGATTTCAAGGCCAACTTTGGCTACACAATGAATTTGAGGCCAGCTCAAAAAGCCAAACAAAAAAAATAAGCAAAAACAAAACCCTTCTCTCTTGTTTGTTTTCTCTGAATTGTGGTGATGGATGATGGTTTCACAACTGTGTGCCTTTACTGGAAGGATAGTTATTTAGAAAGGGGTACTCTGTGCTTACAAATGTTACCATGTCTGGTATAGAGTTAAAGCTGAGGGCACCTACTTCGGGCACTCAGCAGTGGCTGCTCAAATCTCCCTTCTCCAACTCTGGTCTTGACTGAAGGCTGGCAATGAGGATTTCTTACCTCGGACTTTCCACATGGGCTGCAGAGGCTCTTGGGTACCAGGCAGTGAGTAACAAGAATGCTAGGGTCCTTGGTGGTGATGGACAGACCCTTCTGCAGAATTTGAACCAGGCGGATCCAAAAGTGGAAGACAGTCTCAGGGTGGTCAGGGTGGAGCTTTAGGAAGTAGATCTTCTCGGTAACTGTCCTCAACCTCAGGATGCGTTCATGGTGGTCACAGATCTGAAGCTCCACAAACTTCAAAGGAAGAATACTAAGACACAGAAGAAGACACCTGGACAACCCCATCACTTTGACATGTCTCCTTAAGGGTGGGGGGCTTTTAAAGACAGGAAAGAGAGCTCTTGACCAGTGGTGCTAAACTCTGGGGAAGGCAGATTTCCCTGGAGCGCTTGATGCGGACTATCAGAGACAATCCCAAAGATTCAGATTCAGTCGGTCTGGGCTCTGGCCCTGGGACCTGCCTCTCTCACACTGCCACGATTCTCATGCCAGTGTTCCCTGGGTCCTGTCACAGATGTAGCTCAGGAGTAAGGTGGCCGGAGACATGAGATTTTGCCATTTCCTCCTTGAAAACACAAAGGGCGCTGACCCACCTGCACAATTTGTTCATTCAAGACGAGTCCACACGAGTTGACTCAAGGACCTGGCTTAGATATGACAGTCACCTGTAGGGGGCAGTACTTGCTACAGGTATACCAACATCATAAAATGGAGAGCTCCGCACGAGGTAGCCCGGAGGGGATGAAGGGGTTTCCGGGACCTCAAGAATCTAGAGATTCTTGAGATGATTTGCAGACTGTGTAAGGAGGCCTTTTGTGGTCTGAATGCCAAATATCCCCAGACACTTACTTGTTTGAACATGCGGTCCCCAGCTAACGGTGCCGTTTGGGAAGGTTGTATAGGGAACCTTTAGAAGGAGGAAGTGGATCACTGGGGGCGTGGCGGGGGAGAGCGTTGAGATTTTACAGCCAGACCTCATTTCCTGTTCTGTTTCCTGTTTAGATGCAGTATCATCAGCCAGCTTCCTGCTCTTGCCATCATGTCTCCCCTTCCCTGCCACAATACGCTCTGTCCCCGTGGAACTGTAAGCCAAAATGAACCCTCTCTCCCCTAAGCTGATTTTCGGTTTTTAATCACAGCAACAGAAAGGAAACGGAAACAAGGCCCAAGCATCAAGGTGGACGGTTCTATCCCAAGCCTTATGCTACCATTTGCTATAGCCCTAAGTGGAACTTAGGCAGTTTGCTTTATAGAGGAAAACTGCAGCCAGACTTGTGATACAGGAATTGAGTCTAGTTAGCTGCACACCCAGGACCCAAGAGAGCATGGCCTCTCCTGAGCAGCCTTCCATCCGCCAGTCTCGCGGCCTCATTACTCCTTAACCGGAGGCTAGGAGGTTTCCTGCTAAATCAGAAGCGGGAAGCGGGAAGACAAGCTTGGAGACCAGCCTCCACTCCTGTCCCCGAGCTTCCCTTTGCCCCAGATAACTTGCCCTTCCAGGGAAAGACCTGTCTTGTCTCACCTGACTTGCGTGTGTTACATGCATGCACGTTTGTCAGGCGTGAGCTTGCCCGTGCATGTGTTTGTGTATGAAAGCCAGGGTTCAATGCCACTGTCTTCCTCTAGTGCTGTCCATTATTTAAAAAATGTTTGGGCTGGAGAGATGGCTCAGCAGTTAAGAGCATTGCCTGCTCTTCCAAAGGTCCTGAGTTCAATTCCCAGCAACCACATGGTGGCTCACAAACATCTGTAATGAGGTCTGGTGCCCTCTTCTGGCCTACAGGCATACACACAGACAGAATATTGTATACATAATAAATAAACAAATAAATATTTTTTAAAAAAATAAAAATAAAATAAAAACAATTTATTTGGACTGGAAAGATGGCTCAGCAGTTAAGAGCATTGCCTGCTCTTCCAGAGGTCCTGAATTCAATTCCCAGCAACCACATGGTGGCTCACAACCATCTGTAATGAGTCTGGTGCCCTCTTCTGGCCTGCAGACATACACACAGACAGAATATTGCATGCATAATAAATAAATAAATATTTTTTAAAAATGTTTGCTTGCTTGCTTGCTTGTTTTGAGACAGAGTCTCACTATGTAGTTCTGCCTGCCCTGGAACTCACTATGTAGACCAGGCCAGCCTAGAACCCACAAAGATCCACCTACCTCTGCCTTCCAAGTGCTGGACTGGATTTAAAGGCATGTGTCACCATGCCCAGTCTAAAATTTTATTATTTGTTGTTATGTGTATGGGGATTTGTGTGCATGTCTATCTGTGTGCATCACATGTATGCAGTGTCCACATTATTCAGAATTGTCTGATACCCTGAGACTGGAGTTACAGACGGTTGCTGACTGCTATGGGAGAGGAGCGAGTGCTTTTAACCACTGAGCCGTCTCTCCGGCCCCCACCATCTTTTTAAAGAGGCAGTTTCTGAAAGAAAAGGAGCAGGAATTGCTCTTGCAGAAGACCTGCCAATCACAGGGTGCCTCATAACCATTTATAACTCCAGGGGATCTGACTCTCTGCAGGCACTGGGTACGTATATGGCACACAGATATACATGCAGGCAAAACAGTCACATGCTTAAAACAAAATCAGAACTTTTAAAAAATATTAAAAATATAAGGAAAAAAGGCACTCATGAGGAAGGGAGTGGGCTTGTGAGTTGGGAAGACAGTCACTCAAAAACTCCCACCAAAATTATTGAAACATTGCTCGTGGAATCCTGAGCTTATGGTTTTATCATCTGGTTAGACTAGCTGGCTCCTCCCTAGGATCCACCTCCTTCCTCTAACCCCTTGCACTATCTCTGGGGTTACAGGCACACATTGTACTTGACTTTTTGTGTGGCTGCTGATAATCCAAACTTGGAAGCGTGTGCACATCATCTCTCTCCCCATGAGACATGTCTCCCCACTCCCACCCATCTGTGTATGTATGTGTTGGGGGAGGTGTGTGTGCATGTGTGTGCATAAGCATGTGGAGATCAGAGGTTAACCCCAAGTCCCATTTCTTAAGTGTTTTCCACTTTGGTTTGTTTGTTTGTTTGTTTGTTATTTAAAATCAGAGTCTCTTACTAACCTTGGAGCTTATTAGCTAGGCTAGGCTGGGTGGGTAGCAGACCCCAGGATCTCCCTATCTCTACCTCCCAAGGCTGCGATTACCATGTGAACCACTATATCCTTTCTTTCTTTCTTTCTTTCTTTCTTTCTTTCTTTCTTTCTTTCTTTCTTTCTTTCTTTCTTTCAACATGGGTTCTGTGGATAAAGTTCAGGTCTCCTCATGTTTGTACAGCAGGCACTATAATTAAACGACCTCCCAAGCCTCCGACTTGTCTTAGGTTACTGCAGGCTAGAGCACAGTGCACGTTTGGAATCTAAGCACTCAGAAGGAGGAGGCAGGTAGATCAAGAATTCAAGGCCAACCTTGACTGCAGAGTGGGTTCGTGGCCAGCCTGGGCTAGAAAAGATTTTGTTTAGAACTAAGCAAAATAAAAATTCCGAGGGGGCTGGAGAGATGGCTCAGAGGTTGAGAGCATTGCCTGCTCTTCCAAAGGTCCTGAGTTCAATTCCCAGCAACCACATGGTGGCTCACAACCATCTGTAATGGGATCTGGTGCCCTCTTCTGGCCTGCAAACATACACACAGACAGAATATTGTATACATAACAAATAAATAAATATTAAAAAAAAATAAAAATTCCGAGTAATGTCACTGTAGTGACTTCTCAGTTCTCCATCTGAAGTTTAGTACCAGGCAGCCTCCACCTTGGTCTGCCCTTTGCCCCGCTCACCCCTCACTCTCATCTGCATTGCTTACCTCTTTAGGATGATGCTCGGGGCTGTGGATGGTCTGTTCCATGTCTGGCTTTGCCCCTGATGCCATTTGACTCTGGCCATAAGGAGGATGTTTGGAAGGGGTAGGCAAGGCACGGAGGAGGTCACCCCAAGGGCCATTGTGTTGGAGGCTTTGTAGATTTCTTTCCAGTTTCTGCCCCTTCTGACCTGCAATGCAGCCCCCCGGGCCCAGCCTGAGCATTTGGGAAAAGCAGCGAGATGTTTCAGCCAAATTTCTTCACTCAGCACTAATCTTTATTTTAGATAGCTCTGGTTGGCCTAGAACTCACTATGTAGCCCAGGGCCAGAGAGATCTGCCGGCCTTTGCCTCCTGAGCATTGGAATTAAAGGCACGTGCCACCACACTATGGTAGTCTTAACTTCTTTGTGGGAGGAAGGCCATGCTGTGTTGTGGGAGTGTTTAGCAGTGTCCTTGACCTCTGTATCCTAGAGGCCCTTAGCAAACTCCCATCCAAATTCTGACAACTGAAAACGTCCTCAGACATTGCCAAATGTCCCTTAGAAATGAGGACGTAACCTTTGCTTTTTGACAACTATTTTAACCTGTATTGGTTTGAAGACTCTAGTGGGGCTTATGGGTGTTTTTTAAATTATTACTTTTTTTTTTTAGCTATTTAAACAAGAAAAAAAAATGAAGCAAAATAGAGTCTTACTCTATAACCCAGGATAGATTCATTCTCAAGGGCATCCTCCTGCCTCAACCTCCCAAGTGCTGGGATTATAGACTGTACCACCAGGTAGAATTTTTAAATAAGATTTAAAGGACCTGCTATTAACACAGAGCAAGAAAAAGAACTTAGGAGTTATTTGGTATCTACTTCGTGTCCATGGACACTCCCTTGACAGTTTCCTAACTTTGCTTTGCAGTCATCCTCATGGTCCTTCCTTCTAAGTTCTGTCTGGCCCAACAGGAGCCCAGGCAAGGAGATAAAAACACACCAAATCAACTGGGCAGTTTTGGCGCCTGCCTTTAATCCCAGCACTCGCGAGGCAGAGGCAGGCGGATCTCTGGGAGTTCCAGGCCATCTAGTTCCAGGACAGACTCCAAAGCTACAGAGAAACCCTGTGTCGAAAAACCTCACCGCCTTAACTTGGCATCAGGTGATAGACCTGAAAATAACATAAATTAGGGGTTCCAATGCCTCATCCTCCACTCAGCAAAGGATCAAAGGATGCCTTGCTTTTCTTGCTGTGTGTACACTTACAGGAGAAGCCCTGGCCAGCCTGTGTCTCAGCCCGCTAGCTCTCCTGCATCAGCTCATCTCCCACTGCGGTTCTAAGGCTAACTCTTTCGGTCCCCTCTCGGGAGCGGGTTTAGAAGAATCAAGGAGGGCTGTTCTGAGTCACCCAAGGGTACCTGGACAAAGTTGCTTTCAAACACCACAGAGTTAGGAAACAGGTTGAACTCTGGAGAATGAACCATCTGGCAGAGCAGTCCTTCCTCCACTCCTAGGCCCACTCCAGGGTTCGGCTCCCCTTCCACAGGCAAGAGGCCCCTGAATTTTTCCCAGGCATTCAAGGAAGGGAAGGTTGGATAAGGTCTTATAACGTTTACAGTCTTCTTCGAATTCCACCAAGACTGTCTAGGTGGAACTGATGTCATCCTGTCTGCACATGCTCAGGGGCCCTCTGCACAGTTGTCCTGGGTTCTCTTTCTTCCCTTCTGACCCTGGGCCGCTGGCCAAGGCCTGGGGGCAGTTGGTCAGCTCACAATGATGAATGGATGACATCATGAAAAACCACAGTAGGCCTGTAAGAAAGGGAAGCGGGGGGAGCCTCCCATTTCCTCCCGAGACAGTGCTGTTCACTTATGCACTAACATCCTAAGTCGTTCTCTGGGGCCTACGTGGAACAGTCACAGAGCTCGCTGGGAAAGCCTGAGGCAGTTAGGAAGCTCCTGCTACTGCCCAGAAGGAAGGCCCTTCCTGACTCTCAACCTTCTCTGACCTGTGTATGTGTTTGTGTGTGTGTGTGCGTGCACGTGCACGTATATGTGTATGTGACGTGTGTGTGTGTGTGTGTGTGTGTGTGTGTGTGTGTGTGTGTGGTGTATGTTGCCGGGGACTGAACCCAGGGCCCCTCGCATGCTGTATGAGTCGCGCAACTTTATCCCCAGCTCACACAGAGCGTGAACTTGCCATATTTCTGCCTCAGCCTCCTTCCTTCTGAGATGATGGACCTGCAGCATGAAGTTCAAGCTCCCCCATTTACTTTACATTTGATTGATTGACTGATTGATGTGCACAAATGGGTAAGTGCGTCACAACATGTGTGAAAGTCAGAGAACATCTTACGGGAATCAATTCCACCGTACAGCCTCTGGGGATCAAACTCGGTTCATCAGGCTTGATGGTTAGGTACATGCCTTTATCTGCTGAGGCATCTCACCACTGAGCAGTCTTGCTGGCCTACTCCCTTACTCTCTTAGAGAAAATTATTCCAAGCAATGCAAAGAGCTGATGTCTATTCAAAACTCATTTCCAGAGCCTCACATGATATAATCCCCCCACCACACACCCTGATTTAGCATGACGTCAGCCTCTTTGGCTTAACATGATGTCAGCCTCTCACCCTCTGGCTTAACATGACATGAAGCTCCCACACCCTGGTTTAGAGTGACTCCTGCGCCCTGATTTACGTGCAAGAACCATTTCTGCTTCTCGGAGAGCTGCTGGTGCCTACTCTCTGCCTGCTATGGCTGGCTGATTGCAGCTGCAGGATTTTGTTCCCTTAGGAAGTCAAAACTGAAGGAGCAGGAGAAGTAATTAGTTTCTTACAAGGCTGACTGTAGAAGGGTACCAGTTGGGAGGGACACCAACTTATCCTGGTCTTAGTAATTGTGTATCTCCCCAAGAGCCAGAGAAAGAAAAAAAAAATCCAAATAGTGGGCATGGGGTGGGTCAAAGAACCAAGCAGGCTGACAACTATTCAAAGTCAATTTAAGGAGACATAGTATTCTAACTTGGACAAAGTTCTAGGAGTTGTTAATGTATCACCATCGAGGTTAAATGTGATAAATAGAAAAATGGTTTGGCAACCAGATATACAAAGGACAGGCCTAGATGTTACTCCTGTATTTCATTATAAAGTCAGGAAGAGGCTGAGCATCATGAGGTTTTCCTGGTCTGGTTCCATCAGCCCTCTCCCCTGGCCACAAGGCTACACCCACTCAACTCCCTGGGAAGCAATGAGATGCCCAACTCTCATTCCTCGGTTTCATTTGCTTACAGTGGGGGGGGGGGTAACATGTTGCCCCCTCGTAAGATTCTCTAAGGATGGAGTAATAGACCACACCCTGTGGTTTGCATCCCCCTGGAAACCAAAAACACAATACAGAAGTGATGGCTGTTAATAAGCTGTGCGCACTTAACCGTTGGCACTTAACCAAAACACAGCCTGTTGTGCTAGATACAGGGCTCAATAAATGTAGCCACCGAGACAGCCCAAAGTCAACTGGGAGGTTGACTCTGCTCTTTTCCAGCTAGGGACGCTAAGCCGGTTTCCGTGGTGTTCCTTGACCTTCAGTGGAAGGAGGCTTTAGCACTAGTCTAGAAAGTTAATTATAACAACACTTTTGGCTCTAAACAAGATGCTGAACAATTGTATCCATATTAAAAAATTCTTTTAGACATAGTATATCCATTTGATGCCCGTTCCTGTGGCACGGAACTCGCTGACATGTACTTGGCCATAGGCCATCTAGAATAAAAAGTACATTGTGTGGCTTCTCTTGCATCTAAATAAGGCCATGCGACTATTCTACTGAAAGACATATAAGCTCAAGAAAAATTTCTGGGAGCAATTATTTTAGGAAGAAGCCATCCCTCTTCCCTACTCCCTATTCCCGTCTCCCTCCCTACTCCCCCCCACCCCAAAGTGGAATAAAATTTCCATTCCAATCCTGAACTGTGAATTTCTATTTATGAAAAAAATAGGAATGTTTAACATGTACGTATTATTTTGTATGTGGCTGTATATGTGGGGTGGTGCTGTAGCACACGTGTGGAGGCTGGAGGGAGCCTGCTCGCTTCTGCCACCGTGTGGGGCCCAGGGATTGAGAATCTGCTGTAGACTTAACCATCCCCACAACCCAAATTTGGGTTTTTGAAATTAGATTGAGTCAAACCCAAAACTGGCTGAAGCTACATAGAACTCTTGCTCACTCTTCAGAACAATTGTGCAGCAAATAGAGGTGTTCACCACCATTCTAGGTGATAAGGAAGACAAAGTTAATTTGCAGGGTATCTGAACTTTAGTGGAACAAACTTGTGGCTTCTGGGGAGTGCAATTGTTTCCTTCAACACTAGAAAACACTGCTCCTATGCTCCTCACGTGTTAGGTGGTGCTGGTGCTACCATAATGAACATTCTTTGAATATTTGATGGTGGCAGCTGTGATGACTTCTGGAGGGATGTGTTCTGACGCTTGCTCAAAGTGACCAGAATCTCTGGGTGTCAGTCAGGGCTGGACCAGGCTCTGTGCAGCTTAAGACTTCCTATTTAAAGATTTTTTTTCTGCTTTTCTTTCTTTTCCATCTTTTCTTTCTTTCTCTCTCTCTCTTTCTTTTCTTTTCTTTCTTCCCATCCTTCCCTTTTCCTTTCTTTTTGTTCTTTTTCCAGACAAAGTCTCACTATGTAGCCCTGGCTGCCGTGGAACCTACTTTGTAGACCAGGTTGACCTCAAACTCGCAAAGATCTACCTGCCTCTGCCTTCCAAATGCTGGGATTAAAGGTGTGCATCACCATGCCCTGAAAGAGATTTTTTTTTAAGGTTAGGTAGAGGAGGGCATGGGGTTTGCCTTTATTGGGTACAGAATGTCTGTTTAGGAGTGTGAGCCACTTCTGGAGAGGAATGGGCGGTGATGGCTGCACCACTGTGAATGTGAGTAATTGCACTGCACTGTGCCAAAAAAACTGAAAATGGAGTCACTTGTGCTGTTATTTTAACTATAAAAAAAAGATATCTGGACTTTAAAAGACAATGTGAAAACCCCCCAAAAGTGTGACATGAAATCACCCCGGGCTGGTGGGTATGACTCACAGTGCAGATTCTTCTAACAAGTGTGACGCTTGGGTTTTGTTTTCAGTACACAAAAAGATTATTAAAACCTTTTTTTGGGACAAGGTCACACTCTAGCCAGGTTGCTCGGGAACTCATTACATGGCCAATTGAGCTTGCACACTTGGTGGTCTTCTTACCTCAGTCTCCCACGTTCTGAGATCACAGGAGTAAGCTACTTTGTCTAGCTCTAATACATACATACATACATATGTGTGTGTGTGTGTGCGTGTGCACATGTGTGTGCATGCATGGGCACACATGGACATGCGTATGTTGGTATTGGGGATTGAATTCAGCTCCTTGCAAATACAAGATCAATGTTCTATCACTAACTTACACCTCCAGCACTTAGATAATTAAAAAAAATCCCAGAATACTCCTACTTTTTGGAGAACATTATAACTTTGTATGGTATGTGTGAGTATAGGTATGTGTAAAGCCAAAATATTGTACTGGGGTCTTGGTGTGGGTTTGGAATGAAGTCTTAGGTATTCAGGTTGGTTTGACCTCACTATGTGGAAGATGACCTTGAACATTTGTTTCCCTGACCTCTGGCTCCAGCATGTTGAGACTAACATGCATACCCACCATTAACGCTCTCATACTCTATTGTTTCACAGACTTTTTTGGTCACTAGTTTCATTTAGTCAACACTACAGTTGTGCTCATATATTTTCATCTTACGCCACCAGAGGGTACGTTGGCCATTTCTCTAAGCAACTAAATTATTGCCACATCTGGCTTATTAAAATCAGTATCCAACCCAAGAGCTCACCTTTCCCCTTGTTTATTTTTATCTAGTAAAGTCTCTTTCTTAGGATACTGAATAGTGAAAGCATCAGTGAGCTGTACTGCAGGATGCTCCTCTTCCTGGATTTACCTTGTTGGTCCCTCATGCTGATATTTAGGTTAGTTCTCCAGCCACTAACTTGTTATGAAGTAGAAGTTATAGACAAAAGATTTTTTATCTCAAGACAAATATTTCTTTTAAAATTAAAATGGTCGCCATTCCTTAGTAAAGATCTACCATGGGACCTGTACAAAGAACAGCTCTCCCCACCTCGACTGATGCCAACAGGAACATAAGTGACTGTATATCTGAAGAGAAATAATTTCAGAAAACAGGAGAAAATACTTGACAACAATCTTTGCTGCGCTGGAGACTAAATGTAATATGAAAAAAAATAATGGAATCGGAATGGAAGATTCTGGTGGGAAGAGAAAATGAAGAAACAGAGAAAATAAAAACTCTTAAATTTTGAAGTCGCATCAGAAGCTGAAGTTGATATGATAGAAAAACAAGACATTGATGTGGATGACAGACTAGCAAATATCCCACCGAAGGCCTCAGAATGGGTGAAGAGACATGGTGACAGGAGGGGACAGCACCTAGTGAGACAGTTCGGTCGATTCAACGTGGCTGATGTGCCTATGAAGAGAAAAATGAATGGAATTGGACAACAATAAAAAAGCTATTCTGAAACTAAACTCCCTCGGTATGACAACACAAACAGGACTCACCATGTTCCAAGGAGACTGGGTGAATATACTAGAGAGGAAAGAATGGCCTTTAAGAAACTCTGAGTTACTGGAATAAAAGGAGAAGCATCC